AGAACGTGTGAACTTAACCACTGCGCCACCAGGCCGGCCCCATCGGTCTTATTTTAAAATGGCACTAGGGTGGTGGCGTTCAGATTTAAAATAAATGGAAACCAGAAGTTCTCTCTGTCGTTGGGATTAGCTGCGACCAACACTTAAATGGCTTTTATTTGGCTGGAATAAAACGCCCAGGATGGAGCGGCTCCATTTGCGCGATTTTTTCCGGAAGTTTAGCAAGTTGGCGATGCGACCTGAGGGTCAGACCTCACCTTTAACGTGTCGTTGAAAACGTCGGTTCCGTGGGGACGGTCAAAGAGCCACACGCTCGGGCATCGGGTGTGACGGGGACAGTTCTCGGCTTTGAGGTTGACGATGCTGCACAGACAGCGGCCTCGGGAGGGGGCGCCTCGGACGAGACCACCGGCTGCCAGGACACGGTTCTCTCAGGGAAGAGCTCTGGGTCCCACCGAGTTTCCCCGCTGGGCCCGGGGGCCGAGGGAGTGCAGCGTCGGGGTCCTGCGGGCAGCCAGGGTTGCCCGGAAGTGGAAGCGTGGCCTGGGCAGGTGCAGCAGGAAGGCCTCCCATCAGCGAGGCTCCCGGGTGGACGGACAGTCCAGTCTGGCAAGTGCGGGCAGCGCCTGACCTTCCCAGGACCTGGAGAGCGTGTCTCCGGGGGGACTCGTCCTGCCAGCAAGAGCCTGGGGCTGCCTCCGTCCTGGGGGCCTGGACCCTCCGAGTGGACCCACCGCACCGGATGGTGCCTGGACGAGCGCTCCCAGAGGGGGGCCGAGACCCCCACTCCAGAGTGACCTGTTGCGCGTCCTCTGAGGATGAATGAATGGGGCCTTTTGGGGGCCTCTCAGGGTGGTCAACCTCACTGCACCCAAAGCTAGCTGTGTGACCCTGGGCAAGTCACTTACCCTTTCTGAGCCTCTATTTTCCCATCTGTAAAGTGGGAACGATAATGGGGGCCCACGAATCTCTATGGTTGTGAGGTTCCAATGAGAGAACGTTGATGAGGCTTCATCTTGGGGGGAGGGCACTGGGCTCAGACTAAGAACTCAAGATCGACGGCTATCATTGTGACGGAGAATGGCTTCAGCAAGCAGGGACTTTGTCAAAGACCCACACTCATCCTAGCTGATCTAGTAACTTGAACCTGTCTTAACAGGCAGCTCGTTCTCCAACCATGCTTCCCTCTTTCCATCCACCATCCATCCATCTACCTGCCCACCTTCCATCCATTCATCCGTCCACTCCATCCATCCACCATCCACCCATCTATCCATCCGTCTATCCATCCACCATCCACCCATCCACCCATCCATCCACCCATCCACCCATCCATCCACCATACATCCACCACCCATCCACCCACCATCCATCCATCCATCCACCACCCATCCACCCACCTATCCACCTTCCACCCATCTATCCATCCGTCTATCCATCCACCATCCACCCATCCACCCATCCATCCACCCATCCACCCATCCATCCACCACCCACATTCCATCCATCCATCCACCATCCATCCATCCACTCATCCACCCACCCACCCATCCATCCAACCACCACCCATCCACCCACCATCCATCCATCCATCCACCCACCTATCCACCTTCCATCCATCCATCCATCCATTCACCCACCCATCCACCATCCACCATCCACCATCCATCCATTTACCCATCCACCTTCCATCCATCCACCATCCATCCATCTATCCACTCATCCATCCACCCACCCATCCACCATCCACCATCCATCCATCCTTCCTTCCTTCCATCCATATTGTACTGAGGACCCGCTGTCAGGGAACCATCAGCAGCAGGGTGAGGATGCAAGAACTGAGGGACCCGGGGAGGGAGAGGCACTGGGGTGGGGAGTGATTTGGTGGAAACTTCCAAACAGCTGTGATCTCTGAGACATGGGCCAGGTGGGAGCTGGGACCCCACACAGGCCTCCACCCCTTTGGGACTTTATGGGCCCCGAGATCACAGAGGTTCCCTTTGGGTCCAGGCGAGGGTGTGGCTGGTGCCCAAGACGGCCCGCTCCCCGGACACCATCCTGACTGAGCACCGTCTGCAGCCTCAGCCCTGCCGGCGGGGGCTCCGTGCTCGGTCCCACCCCCCACTCAGAGGGGTCTGTGGACTCGGGAGGGAAGACTTGCTCACCTCTCACCAACGCTGGCATTTCCCTCCCTCGTGAGCGGGCACGTCAGCCGCTGTCGCATCCGCGTTTGTGTCGTTTGCGTGTTTCGATATCGATGATTTCATGTGATTTTCTGTGTATCTCGTTTCCCACATTTAAAATCCTTATTCTGGGAGGAGCTGCAGAGGCGGAACCAGAAGCCAGAGGCATCCGCCGTGTTACGACAGGGTTGAGGACCAGCCCCGACCTGAGGTGACGCAAACAGGTGGACCCGATAAATAAAGAGCAGTGTTGCCCTCGAGGTCACATCCGGGCTGTTTGGGCCGACCTGGGGGGCTTCTGGTGGAGGCGCCCTGTGGGTCCACAGAGACACCGCAATGAGGCGAGGACCGGGTGGGCGCCCTCGCCTGGGCTTCTCTTGGGACCCAGACGTTCCTGCCTCCCCTTCCACCCGGGAGCCCTCCAGACTCGAACAGAAAGCTGTGTTTCTTGTACGGACGGTGCCTTTTTGTGCCATTAAAGGCTCCCAGGGTGGAAGGGAGCGGGGTTTGTCTGAAAGGATGCGGACGATGGAAAAGGAGGGGGCGCTGTTCGCTGGGGGACGGGTGGAGCGGAGTGGAGCGGAGCGCGTGCGGCCATCCGTCTGGTTCCAGCCTCGGCCATTTACGAGCCGGGGGCATCGGGTCGTTTTGGGGACAAGGCTGGGTTCTCCGGCCTCGCCGTTCAGAGTGGGGGTTCGGCTCCTTCCGTCTCCCCACGTTGCTTCTCTGCCGGGAGATAGACGGGGAGATGCGTGTGGTCGGGCGGGTTTCGGGTCAGGCGGCGCGGACGCACCTGGACGTGCAGAAAAGGCTGTGGGGACGGATGCCAGCGCCCAGCCACCCAGTTTGGGGACATGCATCTTGCGGGGGAAGCACAGGTGGGACTCGAGCCCCAGGTGATGGGGGCGCGGGCATGCGTACCCGCCTGTCTCCTCCTGGGGAGCCCTCGCGTTCTTCGTGGCCCCGTCTGTGACCGAGGAAACAGGGAAGCGTCCTCGGGCAGGAGCGGATGAACGAGCCGCGTGTGTTCACGCCACGGAGTCCTCCCGGCCGCTTTTCGTGTCTCCATCTGGACGCGATTCAGAAAACACGGGAGGGAGAACGGAGATGCAGACGGTACCCGGGCGTGGGTGATAAAGACGCCGAATAACGAGGGCGCTTTTCACAGATGCCTCCCCGAGAGGTGACGTGTGGAGCGTGCGTGGGGGGTCGGGGTCCTCCTGTGAGCCTTCCCGGAGGAGAACGACCTGGAGCAGAGACGTCGGACACTTGTTCAGTCTACGCCAGAGGGCAGGGGGTGTTCTGGCCTCTGCTTCATTATTTATGGCATTTTTGAGATATTTTACCATTACGAGTTAAGAGTTTTCTAGCTTTAATGAGGGAGGAATGGTAAAATCCTTTCTTAAAGGCCTGCTCACTTTAAGAGCCCTGACGTTGTGGCTTTGAAGAAATGCAATTTGAAAAACAGTGGCCAGATGCACCCGCGGATGCTCCCCGGGCATGCTGAGGCCGGGAATCGAAGCCTGGGCCGGGGACAGACGCGCGGGGCTGGACGGTGGGGCAGCTGCTCCAGGCCCGTCACTGCCCCGTGAGGAAGGGGCCGCAAACCTCCCCATGGTGCCGCCCTCCTTCTCAGAGAGAGAGAGAAACGTTTCTTAAATAGGAGACGGCTGCTGTCCTTATGTTTGCCAGGCCCTGGAAACAGGGGGGGTTGGGCACAGTGCTGTTTGTATCTCTGACTTCAAGTTGGATTCCTGGGGGCGCCTGTGAGCCCCTCTGAGGCTCGCCCACCCTGGCCAGTGAAGGTTTCCGAGAATCCCCTTCCTTTTTTTTTTTTTTTTTTTTTTGCTGAGGAAGATTGGCCCTGAGCTAACATCTGTGCCAGTCTTCCTCTGTTTTGTACGTGGGATGCTGCCACCGCATGACTGATGAGTGGTGTAGGTCCGCGCTGGGGATCCGAGCCTGGGCCACTAAAGCAGAATGCGCTGAACTTAACCACTAGGCCACAAGGCCGGCCCCCAGCATCCCCTTCTTAACCAGCCAGATGGGAGTCAGCTGACCATCCTGCACTCACAGCCCACGTTTCCTACCTAAGGGGCCCTGGCTCCACCCTTCCCGGGGCAGCCTCCACGGGTGGTCGTTGCATTTTGGGATCTAGACGCTGACCTCTGACCCTGTGTCCTGGTTGCACCCCTGCGCATAAAACGTCCCCCATCTTTCCCAGGATGCATCCTCCTCGCTCCCCTTCGCACTCTGCCAGTTCACATCCAAATTTAGGACGTTGAACGGCCAGGCTGCCCAGGTGGTGCAGCCCCCCGTGTCAGCCTCGCCGGCTTCGGCGGCTCGTGGAGTCAGCCTGTTGTAGAGTCTGGTTCCAACCGGAGCAGAGACTCCAAACTCACGTCCCATTCCCGCATCCGGGTCTCAGGACCCCCTTGACAGGAAGTGCTCTGCCTGGAAAAATGCAGAAAACAGGTCCGGACCGATTGCCGTGTCCCGCAGAATCACCTTTGCCGACAGGAGAAATGTTCGCGATCCGTTGTCACTTTTGCTTTCGAACTGGAGTCCCCAGCAGTGTGTCCAGTGATCCCGTTTTTGTAAAAACCCCAAACAGCAAACCCTGTCCTGGCACAGGATCGGGGTCAGAGCCGCTCTCTGGACGGAGGGGTCGTGAAGGGTTTTATTCCCTCTTTAGCTCACGTGCGTTTCCATTTCCTGGTGAACACAAGCCCGTGAGGCCCCGTGTGGGGTTCAGAGAGTCGGGCTCCGTGCCCGGCGCCACCGCGACTCCCTGACTCGGCCTGTTTTCTTTTCCAGCGACATATTCGACGCCATGTTCCCCGTCACTCACATCGCCGGGGAGACCGTTATACAGCAAGGTACGTTCCCTCTCTTTCTCTGAGCCGAAGTCGACGGCGGGGAAAAAAACGGGCTGTTCGCTTATAAAAATATATGGATATGAAACTCTCCTTGTCTGTCCTGGAGAAAAGTCACTCTGGAGACAAGAACGGTTTGCATGACAAAACTAAACCCCGTATGTTTCCGTAATCTCGTCACTTAAAAAAAATGAGCCAACGGTCGAGAACACCAGAAATGCGCGAAGAGAGTGGATCTCAGGTGCGGTCAACACACGCAGCCCCCGTGACTGCGCGAGGAGAGCGTGTGCTGCGTGGCGGTGCGACCACCCTATTTCCCATGTCAAATGGAAACAATGCTTGCACCTGCAAACAGATACAATGTTGCACATGCTAAATAGATATGATGTTGTGCGCATCGAATAGATACAATGTTTCTTTTTAAAAGCTTTGGAAAATAGACCCAGTATGGCTCTGTAGCTGGTGTCGAAACACTGTTTGCAAGAAAAACAAAGACTGGCAACTTGTCTCCTTGGCCTTAAACCAACTGTCCTGTTTCCTCTCTTGTTTCAGGCGATGAAGGAGACAACTTCTACGTGATGGATCAAGGGGAAGTGGATGTGAGTACGCCTTAACTGTTTTGGGGAAGATATGCCCTCTTTCTACACCGTCGGGTCACCGATAAGCTCAGGTCTAGGAAGCCTTCTTTCTGAGCCACACGTTTTCTCATTTTTAATTATTTTTAAAATTCATTTAAAAAATTTAGTTTAATTTTTCAATCCAGAAAAGTAACAGAGTCACTTAACAGGTTCTGTAAAAATACGAAAGCACACTTTGAAGGAGGAGCGCTGGCGGGCGGCGCCGTGTGGCCGTGGTCCCCCTCCTGTGCGCGCCGCCTGCCGTCCCTGGTGGCTCCTGGGACCAGACTCAGCCCGAATCTGCGGCCCGTGAGGCGCCGGCTGAGTCGACCGCGCTGGTGTTAACGCTTCTTAAGCGTCCACGGACCCCCCAAGGTCCTGACTGTACGTGGAACCGACTGTGTCCAGCGTGGCGCCCGGTCCTCAGAACGCGCGGGCCGTGGCCGTGTGTCCGGAGGAATGTCATTGTCTCTGATTTTCACTCACTCTTGCTCTTTTTTACTCTTGTTCTCCCGTCTCCAGAGATGAGGGACCCGCGCGTTCACGGGGCTGCTCCGGGTGGCAGAGCCTCGCCCTGTGTCAGGAGGAGGAACGCCTCCTTCCTGTGCCCACCGCACTCCGGGGTCGTGCCCTTTTGTCTGACCCCCGGCCGCCTCCCCCACGCAGACAGGAAGCCCCCAAGGGCAGGGACAGCATTTGTGGTCCTCGGTCCTGGCGCACAGTCAGGACACATCCTCCGGGACCCTCACGCCGCCACGTCCCAGGCTGGCCCCCGTCTCCTCCGGGCCTCGGATGCCAGCACCTGGGATGGGGCATCGGTGGCCCCCACGCCCGCCCCCTTGACCACACACGGGCCCTGCATCCCGCTCTGCCCGGCGATGCCGCCCCAGCCGAGTTATTTCAGGCTCGGCCTCCGGTACGGCCCGGGCTATTTTTGGGGGGCATTTACTTATTTATTTTCCGGGCAGCCCACCTGTGTCCACCGTGGTCACCGCGTTCTGGGAACCGGGGCGGGCGGCTCTCGGCTTCCGGAGCCGGGAGCACAGGAAGTGACTCACCGTCGGGATCTCAGAGCACCTCCAGAGCCGCGGCCGCCCAGACTGGGAGCCGGGGTTTCTCTCCGGCCTGCGCTCCGGCCCCAGCCAGGCGTCTGCAGCCCTTCATCTCAGGGTGGGATGGGCCCCTGTCTCCCACCAAAGAGGAAACTGAGGCAGGAGCCAAGGCCGGGGGGGCCGCCCAGGGCCGCAGAGGAAGTGTGCGGAGGAGGGGGGAGGAGAGGCGGCCGGGGCTGTGACCCTGGGCTCCGACTGCCAGGCCACAAAGTCAACTCCTGCTGGCTTCACTCCGGGTTAAAAAAAAACCAGCCCAGGAAATAGAGAAGACAGACGGGGATGCGGCCAGCGTCCCAGCTGGGCATCATCCTCGGGCCCGGCCGTCTTGGAGCCGCCCCAGCTCTCAGAGGTGCCCAGGGACAGAGCCGGCCCTGGGAGGTGTGGGGTCAGCTTGTTCCAGGGTCAGAGCCCGGCCTTTCCAGCCGGTCCTAATCTCTCTCTGTTCGGCTCCTTCTCCGCCTCATTCTCTCTGCCCCGTCGCTGGTCTCCTACCTCTCTCTGCTCTTCTTCCCTTTCTTGCTCCACTGTCCATCGAGCGCTTGCAAAGCCCTAAGAACACACTTGTATGGGTGGCGGGGACACGGCCTCTGCCCTTGGGGGTTTGTGGGGGGTGATGGCCAAGAAGCGGGAAATTCACAAATGAGCACTTGCCTCTGGGTCTTTACCCCTCCTGTCCCTCTGCTCTTATTCCTGCTCTGCCTTGCGAACTCCTATGCATCCTTCAAGACCCCTCCCACGCTGGGTTCCTCCCCGGTCGAGGCAGAGCCTCTTCTCTCCACCGTGCTCACGGCCGAGGGCCAGACCCCTCCCTGCCGGACCGGAGCCCCACGAGGATCCGGATCTTGCTTTTCCTCCCCTCCGGGGTCCTCTTCTCTCTCCTCTGTTCATGGAAATCAGAGACTTTTCCATTTCACTTCCCAAGAGTCTGCAGGGTGCCGACTCGTGTCACCTGAGCTTGGGGTGACCGATCAGCGTCTTCGAAGGGCTGTTCCTCCTCCTCCTCGCATCCGGCCGGACTCCCTCGCGTCCAGCAGGACAGCCCCGGCTGCAGACTGTGACGGGCCACGTGGCCTCGCCCACTACCCCTGGTCTCACTCCCTGTGTGTCTGGCGTGAGGTGGGGACTGGCCTGGCCCCTGAGGTCTCAGCCAGGCCCCAGGCCCGTTAGGAGGGGGTCAGGCTGAGCCCTGAGCCGAGGGGGGTTCCCGGCCTCTTCCAGGGCGCGTTGTTTGCTGCTTGTCCCTCGGGGTGGGGCTGGGGACACACGTGGAGGTGATTTTGTGACGGGAAAAAGCGAGGTCACCTTCTCGTAACCCAAATTCCCCAAATATGTTGTCTTGGCAGACCCAGCGCCTCCCACGGCCCGGCGGGTCAGGTACAGAGGCGGCTGTAAGGCTGTTCTGGCCGGGCAGAGCCGGGATGTCCGGGCCCCGAGGGCGGACGCCCACTTCCCTCCGCAGCCTTGGATTCAGGACGGTCCCCGAGGGCCGAGGCGGTGACTTGCGGGGCCGTCGTGATGCCCGTCGAGGCCACAAGCCTCCTCAGATTTTCCAGCCGGGCCGGGCAGGCGTGCGGGGCCGAGGGGCGCCCTCCTGTGATGTGGGAGGCTCGGCCACGCAGGGTAAACGGGCGGCGCCGGGCGGGTGGCCGTGTGGGCGAGGCCACGTTTGAGGGGCTCAGAGATGCTCAGTCAGGGGCGTGGAATGGGAAAGAGGCTCTCGGCCGTGGGGTCGGGGGGTTGTGGGGTCGTGGGCGGCAACAACCTCTCTGATAGTTGCTCCCACGAGGGAGCAGGGCAACGACCATCGGGGGGCATGGGGCAGCCGAGGCCTGAGGACCGTCAGGGCCAGTGGGGAGGTTTTGGAGGGCGGCCCTCGAGGCCGAGTGGGGTGGGGGCCGGGGAGGGAGACGGCCGTCCGCCCGGTTGCCCCGTAGACGCCCGGGCCCCGCGGGAGGCGGGTTCCCCTCGGAGGCCCCGACTCTGGCCTTCTAACCGGGTGGGGCTCCGCGTGGGCGTCCCGCTCGCCCCCTCCCTCCCGCGGGGTGGACGCTGCCCTCCGACCAGCGGCCCCGAGGGGCCGGCCAGGTGCCCGGGTGCCAAGAGCACCGGGTCCCGTTTAAGTTGTGGTTTTCCAGGGAGAGGCCGAAAGCGCCTGTGGCCGCGTGTGCGTTGCCAAGAGCTATAATCCGCTTTTCCGAGACCAAAAATATCTTCCAATTTGTTTTATTCATGGAACATAGCATTTCTACTTGAAAGGACCCTCGGCTGCCGGCCGGCCGGCTCGGGGACGGTTGTGCTGGAGGCCGGCTCCTCCCGGTCCTCCCAGGCCTTGTCATTTCGGGTCCCTCCTTTGTGTCCCGCGTCAGCCCCGTTTCACCCGAGATATGGGAGGAGCGCGTCTCCGGCCTCCACCGCTGGGGGGGGGCCTCTGAGCCGCATCCCGGGGACGGGGGGCGCACGGCTGACGGCTCCCTGGGTCGCGGCCAGTTGTCGCTCACTGTTTACCTGGCGTTCTGTTTTTTTTTTTTTAATTGGTAAAATACACGTAACATAACATTTACCCTTTTAACCACTTTTAAGTGCCCAGTTCAGGGGCCTTGAGCACGTTCACGTCGTCGTGCAGTCGTCACACCGTTCGCCTCCAGGACTTTCTCATCTTCCCAAACTGAATCTTGGTCCCCATGGAACGCTCAGTCCCCGGCCCCTGACCCCACCCTTCCAGCTCCTGCCTCTATGACCTCGACCTCTCCGGGGGCCTCACACAGGTGGGATCCTACAGGGTTTGTCCTTTTGTGACTCATTTCCCTCAGCACAGTCTCCTCCAGGCCCGTCCATGTTGGAGCAGCTGCCAGAATCTCCTTCCTTTTTAGGGCTGAGTAATATTCCCCTGTGGGGATGGACCGCGTGTGTTTACCCATCACCCACTGATGGACCTGGGGTGGTTCCGCCTCTTGCTCATTGTGAATAAAGCTGCGTGAACATGGGGGTGCAGCTCCTTCTCTGAGTCCCCCTTCCCGGGCGCCCTCTGTTAGCCCCCCGTTATTAATTGGACGCCGTGGGGCTGGGGCCCAGAGTGGGCCATGGCTTTTCCTGTGACGTCTCAGCGCCCTCCGGTACCGTCTTACCCACAGAGCACGTCCAGGGCCTGGCCCCGCTGTGGTTGGGGGCTGATTCGGACTCAGCTGGTAATGACTGTCCTCTGGAATGGGACCCAGCCAGGGTCCGGATGACACCCTGCTTTGGGGGGACATCTGTGTGTGTGGGGTCAACGGGGGTGCAGGAGGAGGCCCGGGAGCCACAACGGGTGTGGGGTTCCACTGGAGGAGCGTGGCTGGCGGCCTGCCCCGCCGAGGAGTGGAAACAGAGCCCGCGCGGCTGTTCCACGTGGCCAGGCCCACGGAAGCTTCCGGAAGGGGTGTCTTTGCTAAGGGATGGCAGGTGATGTGGCCGTGCTGCCCAGAGGGACGCGCCGGGCTGACCTGGGGAAGCCGAGTGGCCTGGACGCAGGTGCCCACTCACCTGCACGGACGCCCCGAGGCTCTTGGTGGCGGGACCTGGGGAAGGCGGGACGAGACGGGCCATTAGCTCTTTCTCACCATCAGGAAAGGCAAAAACAGCAGCCTGGTGGATGACACGCCTGGGTTATTTCTTGGCTTGGGCTGCGACGGGTCGGCCCGGGGGGCATGAGAAATGGAAGGAGCTGGGGCGCCGAGGCCACACAGCCCCCCCTTCCTCGGTTTGGCGGGTCACTCAGGTGACTGGTGTTTTGTCTCCAGTTACCCAGACGGCTATTTCGACCCCATTTGGCTTTTCTGTGGTGTCACGTGTTGACCTGAGATGCCCGGGGCTGGGGGCAGGCGGCCGAGCCTGGACCCCCGCCTTCTCCTGGCAGCTCTGCGGCCCGGGCTGCCCCGGCTGCCTGCCTGTCTGGTTTCGGCAGCCGGCGTGGCCGTGGTCTGCGTGTGGGGTCCCCGAACCAGTAGCCACCCAGTGCCACCCGGGACCCCCTCTGGGGTTGCACTGAGCAGATTCCGTTCCTTCAGTCGGATTGCCGTCTCCACCTCTGTGCCCCCCAAGGTCAGAGTCAGAGCTTGTCCGGCTCGGGCCTGTGTCAGGACCACCCGGGGGCCCGTCTCAGCAAAGACTCTGCATCGCCACAGGCTCCCGGGTGGAGCCGGCCCGCCTGGTCACCGTCCACCTGCAGAGGGACCTGGTCGAGAGCCGTGTCTCCTGGACGCCCCTCGCTCCTCCCTGCTCCCCTCTGGTGAGGCCCAGGCCGTTCACGCTGAACCAGAGGGAGCGTCACAGATGTAAGCCAGGTGACATTGGCCCCGCTGGTACCTTCTGTGGCTTCCTGTTGCTTCTAGAATAGCGTCCAAGCCCTTCCCTCCTCCCCACCTGCCACTCCTGCCCCATCGGCATCTCTCTCCCCCTCAGTCTTGCTGCATCCAGTACCCTCCAAACTCAGTCCTGCCCCAGGGCCTTTGCACGTCCTGTCCCTCTGCCTCGAACTCTCTTCCCCCAAATCTTGGCACGGTGGCCCCTGGCCCTACAGGGCTGGGCCAAGTTCACCTCTGAGGAGACGCCTGTATGAACAGACTCTGCCTCCCGTCCTCTTCACGGCCTGGAGCAGGTTTTCTGTGCTGTGTCCTGGCTGATCCTGTGAACCCGCATCCCCTGCCGTCCACTGGGAACCGTGTAGTCAGAATGTGCCGGGCACTGAGGGGGTGACAGATGAACCAACGAATGAATGAATGAACGAATGAATGAATGAATGTGGAGCAGCCAGATCGGAGCCCCCGGGTCCAGCCCGAGAAACTGCAGCCGATGGTGGGAGCATCAATGTAGCCCCGTGGGGCCTCCCACCGTTTTTCTTTAGAAAGAAGAAGAAATAACAACAAAATGAAACAAAGCGAAAAGTCGCCCCTTCGCCTGCCAGCGGGGGTGGGGCCCGGCGCCGGGCCGGCCGTGGTGACAGAGGCCAGTGTCCCGAGAAGGATGGCCCCTTTGTGCTCCGTGGGGCGGCCCTGGCCCGTCCGCGGCTCCGCACAATGGTTTTCTCTGACGCCTCGGGGGCCGTGGTGAGGAAGGGGGTCCCCTGGGTCGCGCCCTACGGCAGCAGCCGCCCTGCCCGCTCTTTGGGGCTGCACCTCGGAAAGTTGGGGTGCAGCCGCCTCGGGCTGGCCCTGCTGAGACACGGCAGACGCCGCCCGGGGCACGCGGGGCACATGCGAGGACGCTGGTGGGGCGTCCCGTGTCCCGGCCGGAGCTCCAGACCGTCGGCCCCACAGGACGGCCCTGAAACGGATGCGCCGAACCCAGCGCTCGCAGACGTGGCGGCAGGCGGTGCGCGCGGTTCCTTCTACGCGCCCCGTGTCACCGTGGGGACCCGTCCCCGGGCGGAGGGGACACCAGGCGGTCCTGGGACCTGGAAACGTTCGTACCTGATCTGAGCGGTGGACTCCGACGCGGGGTTCGTGCTCGCTCGCGCTGGCGGGTTAAACCTCCGCGCACGGGATGTCACGGAACCGCAGGAGGCCCGGGGCGAGTCGTCCTCGTGCCCCCGGCTCTGGGTCCCCTGTGAGAGGACAAGAGGCTGCGTGCCGTCCCTTCACCCCTAAAAGCCAGGGGCTGCCAGCCGCCCCTCACGCCTCTCGCCCCGGCCTTCGGATCCCCGTCCAGTGGACGCTGGTGTCTTCTCCCCGGGTGCCCAGCAGCCCCGACTTCCCTCCAGGAACGGTCGGGCCGGGTCGGGGGTGAACGGGCCCCGCTCCGCACGGCGTTTCTGGCACGTAGGCAGCTCTGTGCCTCGGTTATTGTGGAGATAATGAGCCATTGATTCCAGTAAGAATTGCTTCCATGATTCCCCGCAATCCGTCCTTTCCCGATACGCACCCGTCTCGCCAACGGGAACGATTCTTTAAGCTCATTGACACGCTGAGCGAATAAACGGTGCGTTGTGTCAATTTATAGGCACCGAACCTGCATAATACGCCCTCTGTGCTGCTCTCGCAGGACGCGCAGCGCGCGCCGTCAGTGCATAGTGGGCACAGTGTGCGGGGCGCGGCGCCCACGCCGGCTGAAAGGGAATCTTGTCCCGGGCTCCTCCCGGCCCAGCCCGAGCCGGGCCAGCCCGCGCGCCCATTGACTGCAGGCCCGGGGAGCCTGGGCGCGGCCGAGGGGAGGACACGGTCAGCATGGCCCCTTCCGGGCGAGCGGGCTGTGCCGGTGGAGGTGGGGCGAGGGGCAGCTCATGAATGAAAACGGCGCAGGTGGAGGCGCCTGCCTGGGGTCGAGCGTAGGGGTGGGGACGCCCTGGGGGAGTCGGGTTCAGCTTATTGGGTGTGCAGTGGGGAAACTGAGGCCCAGAGTGGCCAATTGAAAGTTGATAAGGAACTGGATGGAAGGCCTGCCCGGGGGGCGGGCGGGGCTCGTTTGCACCTCCAGCCGGCCCGGCTCCCGGGCGTTGACACCCGGGGACCCTCCTCCTGGGCTTTGCTGCCCGGACCCGGGAGCTGCTGTGCGCCCGTCCAGCTGCGGCCTCGAGCGGGGATGGGGTGGGCTGGGCACCTTGGCCGACAGATCCAGGCCACGCTGGGGCCGGGGTGCAGGGTCCTGCCCACAGCAATGGGCCTGGGGCGGCAGCCGTGTGCGCCCCTCCCCGCAGGGACTCCTTCTGGGGGGACCCCGTGGCCCCCATGACGCGTCTCCTCTGCTCCCCAAAGGTGTACGTGAACGGAGAGTGGGTGACCAGCATCAGCGAGGGAGGAAGCTTCGGGGAGCTGGCGCTCATCTACGGCACCCCCAGGGCAGCCACCGTGAAAGCCAAGACCGACCTCAAGCTCTGGGGCATCGACCGGGACAGCTACCGGCGCATCCTCATGGTGAGTGGCGCCCTGGCGCGGGACGCTTCCCGGGGTGCGGAGGCCAGCCGGTCGAGACTGCCGCCCACCCAGGGCCGAGCATCTCGTCGGAAGCCCCGTTTTACCCGCCTGGGGATGTGCTTGGCTAAGGCTGTTCCCCGGCCTCCCTGGTAGACGGGGCCTGGGAGACGGGCGGAAAGTGTTGGGAGGGATTCTAGAAGCTTCTTAAAGGCAGGCAGCCATCCGAGGAAGCTCCTTTTGCCTTCTTCCCCTTTCTCCTTCCGGCTGTCTGGAACCTGGTGGCGATGGCTGGAGCTCCAGCTGCCATCCTGGATCATGAGGTGACTTTGAGAATGAAACAATTCGCCAAGGTGGTGCAGCAAGGAGAGGTGTGAGGGGTCCGGTGGCGAGGCGGGACCAGACTTCCTCATGCAGGGGACACGGTGTGAGCGTGAGCATGTGCACACGTCAGGCCCACGGTGGGTCCGTCAGGCAGTGACTGACTCAGTGGCTGCCTGGGCCCACCTTCCCGGGAAGCTCTGGAGATGAGCTGTGAGCTGGGAGGGCCGTTCCCAGGGCGAGGAGGCAAGCTCGTCCTCCACACATCCTGCCCGCCGGTGCCATTCTCAGTGCGGGGACACATTGGGGACATCACGAACCCAGTGCCCCTATGAGGCCTCATCTCTGAGCCCTTGCTGGGGCCAGAGCCGACTGGGACCCAGTTATCCCTGGGCCAGGCTGGGGGCCGCCTCGGTGAGGACAGAGGGCGTCCGACTCTGGGAGGATGCAGGGAGCCAGAGGGTCCGGGCCGGCCACACGCCTGGAGGGACCCCTTGGGGTCACAGGTCCTTAGTCCCTTCCCTCTCATCTCCGGGCGGAGGCCACTGGGAGCCGAGCACCCCGGCCTTTGGGAAGCCACGCTCCTTGGCTCCCTGGTCACCCGTGGTGACCGCTGGGCCTGGCGCTCTTCTGGCGGGAGCCCTGGTGGGCCCTGGTGGCTGGCAGTGGTGTGCGCTCAGACCGGCTCCCGTGGGGCTGGGTCCCGGGAGTCCCGACCCGCCAGAGGGAGGTCGCCAGGTGAGCAGGTGGCCGGGAGACCTTGGGCCTCCCCCAGCTCGCGCTCCTGCGGCTGGACGGGCCTGGGCTTGCTGCGCGTGCCCTCGGGGGCCGGGTTGTCTCCCTGAAGCCCGGCCCGGGCGGTGCCGTTGTGCCGTTTCCAGGGAGGGGCAGCGGCTGGGGGATGGTGCGCGGAGGCCGGTGCAGGACAGGCCCCCGAGCTCGGTCCCAGTGTGAGCCTGGAGGACTTCCTGCCCCCAGGACGGATCCTGGTGGAAGGCGGTTCTCTCGTCTTCGTCTTAAACCCCACAGCGGTCCCGTCTCTGGATGCACCTGGCCCTCGCACTGCGTGAGCCGTGGTTCCGCCCCCGCCGTCCGCGCCTGTGGGTCGTTCTCAGCTGTGGGATTTTTGTGGCCGAAGCCTCCTCTTCAGGGAAGTTCCCAAACCACCGAGGCAGCTGGCGTTTCCTCTGTTTTAATTCTGGGTCCCTGAGCGCTAAGAATAGCCGGGTCTGCGGAGCCCCGAGCGTCTCGGGAAAGAAAATGACAGCCCCGGGCGACTGGGAAGGGAGTGTCCGTGGGCCGGTGTTTGTTTTTGCATCAGCCCTCGAATTGGGTGGGTTTCCATGGATCCACCGCGCCTTGAGCGGACCGGCCGTGCGTCCACTTAGCACGAAGCTGGAACACGCCGTGGGGGACACAGGCGGGTAGTGGGGGCCCTACGTTTGGGCTGGCGGGATCCCGAGCATCTGTCTCGTCTCTGCCTCAGCGGCTCCGTGTGGCGTGGACAGGGGGCCGGCCTCCCCCAGGCTCCAGGCGTGAGCCGGGGCTCCCCGAACTTCTTTGTTTAAGCTTCCGGACGCCTGGCTCACCCTGAGTCCTACGTGGGACCCATGTGTTTGGAACTAATGAACGTAAAGTTCGGGGCAGAAGCTGGGCATCCAGGGCCCCACCGGCCTGGGGCCGCCCGAGACCCTTGGAACTGGGTCCTGAGCCACAGCCCCGAGACCCCCACCCACCGGCCGGGGTGTCTGGTTCCCGTCTGTGAAGTGGGGCTGGGGGGCACTGGGATCGCCTTCTCGTCTGCTCTGCAACCCCCCCGGGGTCCACAGCGATGCCCCAGGGCTTTCCGGTGGGCTCCGTCGCCGGGCTCCTGAGGCAAGTGGCGCGGAGTAGGTCCCTTGGCTTATCTCGGGGTTTCACGTGTGAGGGGAGGGGGCGCTCAGAGTGGGGGGCCGTTTGGGGGAGATTTGGGGACGCGAGTCACTCCCCCGGGACCCCCATGTCCATTCCTCCTGGGGCCGCCCGCGGCTCGTGCTCCTTTCCAGAGGGGCCGCCACGCGGGGTCCAGCAGGCCCTCACGGGTGGTCCGGGTTCCCAGACTCCAGACGACGCGCATCCTGGGACGTGTCCCTCCTCGCAGACCCCGGTGCTCAGTGGGGACGGGCCTGGACTCCCAGACATTTTAGGTTCTGGTCTCAGGACAAACGCCTCCCCCTGGACAGCGAGTGGAGAGAGCCCCCGGGCCGGGGTCCGGGTCTGGCCTGGCGCCACGTGCTGGCGGGTCAGTGCTGGGGGAGGGGTGGGACCCTCTGTCTCACGTCCCCGTCTCCTCATCTCCAGCTGTAAACGAGGCAATGGCAGCCCCTGGGCGGGGTCCTGGTCTGCGGGTGGGGAGGTGAGAGATCGGAAGTGTCGTCTCTCCCTCTCCCGGCCTGATCGCCCCGGGACCAGGTTTGGGGCGCCCACTCCACTCCCTGCAGGAAAGAGGGGCCGGGGTCATGATGAAGGAGCCGCTGGAGAAACACCGGGGGGCTGCCAGGAGGCGGTGTGCCCAGGGGCGGCGTGTGGACCAGCCTCTCTCCAGTCTTTGCTCTGAGGCCGGCCCATCCGACACCCCATCACAGAGATGTGGAAATTGAGGCCGAGAGCAGGGAGCAGGGAGACGGGGCAGAGCCGAGCCGGGACCCAGCCCGTCCCCTGGGTTCCCCGACCAGCCTGGGTCCTCGGGCAGACTCACCGGGGAGCCCATGGGCGTCCCCCAGGAGTTGGGCCCCGCGGCCCCGTTGCTGTGACACAGGAGTCGTCACCGGCCGCGCTGGCACAGAGCCCACCTCGGGGGGTCCCAGCAGCCCCCAGGCTCCCAGCCCGGCCTCACCTGCTGCCTCGGTCACGGATGGAAACCGTCCGAGAGGAGGGCGCCCGGTCCGCCTTTGAGGCCGGTCTCCTCCCCCGAGGGCCCCGGGGGCCGCGTCCACCTGTCGTCCCGCGCGGGAGACGGATGGGGCCGTGGCCGCGAGCTTTAAGGTCTCAGGTTCCCAGCAGACACGCCCGCATTCCGCGGGGCCCGCGTCACTGCTGGGAGCTCGGCGAGAAAGATAAATTATTTTTCAAAAGAAATGCCTTTTCCGCGGCCGGCGGGCACGGCTCGGGCCGGGCGGAGCTGCAGCTACCGTGGGCGCCCAGGCTGGCCCCCGATGCAGACACAGCGCTGGACAGACCTCAAGCTTTGCCCGCGGACGGCCTGGGCGCCGCGTCCCCACGGTGGCCACCAGCCGGCGGCCGTGCGGAAGCACCTTCTATGCCGTCTGGTCCGGCGACCAGGACTTGGACCCGCTGGGCTGGGTTCCCCGGATGGAGGGGCCCGGGGGTGTCTCTGGGCTGCTGTGTGGAGGGCAGGGTGGCTCCAGGGTTCTAAAACGGGGATTTGCACTCTGGCCCGGAGCCACAGAGAGAAGGTGGGGACCCGAGGCCTGGGTGTCTGCAGGGCTGGGGTCCCCTCGCCGAGTCACTTGATCTGTGTCCGCTCCCATAACCTTCTTGGGACCCTTCGGAGCAGGAGTTACGACACCCTCATCGTCCAGACAAGGAAACTGAGGCTCAGAGAGGTGGACAGGTTGCTCGGGGCCTGTGGATCCCACGTGAGGGGCAGGGACGTGAGCCCCGGGCTGAGTTCCCTCGAGATCCAGGCCTCCCGGCTCCCTCCCACCCCGGGGTGTCTGGCGACTCCCTCGACCACGCGCGTGCACAGCGGCCGTGTCCCCCGTGCTCTCTGAGCTTTGGAGAACGCACACCCAGCAGCCGCGATCTGCTCCCGGCTGCACGGCCCGTCCTCGCTCCACCGTCCACCCTGTCCGGCCCCTCCCCGTCCTGGCTCCCAGCTCCCTCCTCCGCCTCCTCCCGCACTCCTGGCATCTGCTCAGACTTGCAAGACAAGGGGCACTTTTCTCCCCAGACAAGGCCACTGGACTTCAAGTGCTGGCCTCTCGGAGCCCAAGGACTCCTCCCCCCGTCGCTGTGGTCCCTGGACCAGGCGCCAGGGAGGTCCTCCCATCCGAGTGGGCCGGTCGGGGCCGTCGAGCCGGGGCTCAAGTGGCCACACCGAGCAGCGCGCCGACCAGGCAGTGACAAGGCCCCGTGGCCGCCTTGACTCGGCTCTCACTGCAGCTCCCGAGTGTGGGCGCATTGTGGGGCCTCCGAGCCTCTTTCTGGGACTGGACGTGAATGTGGAGGGTGGTCATGGGAGGAGCAGGGCGCTGGCCAGGCCGTCCCCGCCCCCCGGAGGAGAGAGGACCCGAGCGTGTGAACGAGCGCAGTCTGACCTCGCAGCTCCGGCACAGCCAGAGCGCGTGGTGTGGGCACGATTCTGGAACGGGGCCGTCCCGTCTCAACCCCGACCCCACCATGCTGCGGCCCAGTGGACGGAGCAGGTTACCAGCCCTCTGAGACCCCAGCCCCGTAAAGTGGAGGCGGGGACGTGCCCACCTGAAGGGGCCTGGAAAGGGCTGACCCGCGAGGCACCGTGACCTCGGAGCACGTGGGAGTCCTGGCCGGGCTTCCTGTGGTTGGCCGTTCACAGGGCGGGAATCTGGACAGCGCTTGGGGCCGCCGTGGCCTGGAGCTTGGCGAGCGCCTGACGGCAGAGGTCTCACCCCCATCTCTGAGGCTGGTATCTCTCTGCCTCTCGATGGGAAACAGACAAGCACCCTCCTGGGCTGAGGTGTAGACGGCACCGGCAGAGTGGTGTGGGGTTCAGGGGGCGGGAGGAGAGAAAGTGATGGCAGATCAATCACTCTCCTGATGGAGAAACCGAGGCCCAGAGGGGGCGAGACTGATCTCAGAGAGTGGGGAGTTCTGGGTGGTCTGGGATTGGAACGGGGGGCGTGCTGACCCTCTCCTTCAGCCCTCCTGCGGGGTACTCATTGAGGACCACCACCACCACCATCATCATTGTTACCACCACCACCACCGTTGGCACCATCACCACCAGCATCACCATCACCACCACCATTAGCACCATCACCACTACCATCATCATCATCAGCGTCACCATCACCACCATCACCATCAGTGTCATCACCACCATCATCACCATCACCACCATCACCTCCATCATCATCACCATCACCATCACCATCACCACCATCACCATCACCACTATCACCACTATCACCATCACCATCACCACCATCATCATCACCATCACCACCATCACCACCATCACCATCGCTACCATCACCACCATCACCACCACCATCACCATCACCACCATCATCATCACCATCACCATCACCACCATCATCACCATCACCACCATCACCACCATCATCATCAGCATCACAACCACCACCATCACCACCATTATCACCATCACCACCATCATCATCACCATCACCATCACCACCATCACCACCATCATCACCATCACCACCATCACCACCATCATCACCATCACCACCATCATCATCACCATCACCGTCATCACCATCACCACCATCACCACCATCATCACCACCATCATCATCACCATCACCACCATCATCACCATCACCACCATCACCACCATCATCACCATCACCACCATCACCACCATCATCATCAGCATCATCACCACCATCATCATCACCATCACCATCACCACCATCATCATCACCACCATCATCATCACCGTCACCATCACCATGAGCAGGAGCAGCGAGATGAGGAACCGTTGTTGGGCCTCTGTCCCACAACGACCCAGTGAGGTGAGGACGTTTCTTGTCTCCATTTCACGGAGACTCAGAGACGTCGTGGACACACCTGAGTCCACGCTTGCCCAGCTCAACGGGTGGGAGCGCCTTCACCTCTCAGGCGGGCAGCCCGAGTGTTCTCTATGCCGAGGCCCTGGGATGCGCGGGGGCGGGGGCTTCCTGGGGGCTTGCTCTTCCCTCCGGTGAGGCGAGGCTCAGCCTGTGTCTCTGGCTGTTGAGGGAGACGCAGGAGCCGGGCGGGGAGGGTGCAGGGCCGCCACGCTCCATGCCCCGGGTGGAGGCTGGGAGAGGTCAGCCGTGCCTCCCGGAGCCGGAACAGACGAGGGTGGAAAAGCCTCGGCTTTGGCCCGTGGACGCGGCCGCTGCGACCTGGCAGTGGAGACATTCCTTCCCCTCTTGGCTCGGCTGCATTCTTGTCATAGTTTCCTGGGGACAGGCTGTTGGTGCCAGTGCCTCGTCCCGTCCCTACCCGCTCGCTCCCTTCCCCTGCCCTCCCATCGCTCCTGCGCGCAGGCGGGGCCAGGGGTCTCCTGCCTCCGCGACTGTGCCGGCCCGGACGGGCCCCGGGGGGCTGCTTCTCTCTCTCTCCCCATCCCCACAGGGCGGTCCTGCCGGGGTCCCCTGTTTTCCCGTGTGAGAAAGCTGCCTTAAACGGGCTCCTCCGAAAAGAGACAGGAGCAGGCTTTCTCACCAGCTGGACCAGCGTTTGGAGTGTCGACCCACAAGAGCGAGTTGCACCCGACGGTGGGCGGGGGCCTGAGAGAGGGGGTGGGGTGGGCAGCGGCCCTGGAGGCGGACAGGACCAGGTCGGGTCCCCGCTTCACCACGCAGCTCGGTGCAAATGGGGACGTGCTCCTCCAAGGCGCCCGGGGCCCCACCGCGTGTCCGGAGTCGGCTTTGCTTGTCTTTTCTCTTTTCCCGACTTTTCCTTCTCACGGACGTCGCTTGGTGCCCGACTCCCCGGCTGCTGCCGACGGAGGCCTTCGTGGCGGGAGGAGGGGACGCAGGAAGCAGCCGTGGGCTGGTCCACGTCGTCCTGCGTGTTGGCCAAGCCGGATGAGTGACCCTCCTCCGCCACTGCCCAGCGGTCATCTGCTGGGGGGCCCATTTCTGCGAGGGCCGGCTCCCCTGCTGCTGGTCGGCCCGGGGCCCTGTGGCTCCTGTGCCGACATCCCCGTGGCCAAGGGGTCTGAGAGGGAGCAAGACGGAAGCCCCGATGTCCTTTATAGTCCATCCACGTCAGCCTCAAACCGTCCGTCCTCGATATCCTCTGGGTCACAGTGGCCAGCCCTATTCCGTGTGGGACCCGACTGCACAGAATGTGAATACCAGGGGGTGGGGGTCACGGGGGTCATCACTGAGGCCGGCTGCCACACTGGGTGTAACAGAAATACTCAAAACAGCACTGGCTTCACCCACATGGTTATTTATCACGTTCAAGGACCCTGGAAACAGTCCATCTGGGGCCGGTTGTTCTGTGGGCTCAGAGAACCACCTCCCGTTCTCAAGGGCCCAGCATGGCTGCTGGAGCTCCAGCCACGACCTCCACATCCCAGCTAGCAGGGAGGAAGGAGAGAAGGGCACGCCTTTTCTGTTTAAGGGGATGTTCCGAGATTGCACACACCGTGTCCGTCTGCGTCGCCTGGGTCAGAACGTGGTCCACAGCCCTGCTGGGCCAGGAGGGCGCCTGCTGGGGCCTGTGTTCAGCGTGGTTTTCTCCCTCGGGTGTTGTGGGAATTCACAAAACAGCGCATCGGGGAGGTCGAGGCCCTGGGGAAGCTCTGGGGCTGCAGAGCCTGGTCCGGGTCTTCATTCTGCTCCCCTCATCCCTATGTAGGGCCGTCACTCAGCCCCGCCGAGCCTCAGTTTCCTCCCCTGTGGATGACACCCTCGCCTCCAGGGCTGTAAGCAGACGGACGCGAGTCAGAGCCCCAGAGAGACCCAGCGCTCCGAGCTGAGGGTGTTTTCGTTGTCGCGCTCCCTCCTCCCCTCCCCTCTGCACGCTTGGGGGCCGGCCCGGATCACGGTGGGACTTCGTCCCCATAGAGCTTGTCTCTCATCCTGTTCACACCCAGGTGAACTTGTGGCCCCACCGACTGGTGAGGCCACTTGAATTGAACAAAACCAGGCTCGTGTCCTCCTGTCCGTTCTCTGAACGTGCGCTGGTTGATAACGTCATTGTTGGCCGGGCTGCCACGTACAGTTGTGGAGTTCGTGCACTGTGCAAAGCCATGAGGTGGACGGCGAGGGCTGAAGCCCAGACTGCTTCCCCCGCCCCCCGGGCTGGTGCTGGTGCCCGGAGGTGGGGCCTCGTTCTCATTCTCGGGCCCCCCGCCCGCACCCCGCTCGCCGGACCGTGCCCTTGAAGGAGAAGTGCGTTCATCCTGTCCTCGTTTCCGAGTCTGATTTTCGGCATGAATTCCAATTTCCGAGGGACATAAAGGCTGACGGGCCCTGTTCCCCGGGCGTCGGACGCCGTGGCCGCTGTCTCAGACCCTCGGTCATTCGAGGGGCTTCCCGGACGCAGAGTGCCCAGTTTTCCTCTAAGGGTTCAGGGTCATTGGGGGTCGTTGGGAAGTGTTGACGGGACTCAGCCGTGAAGACCCACCTTCTTGTCTCTGTTTTCCTTTCTCCCGACAGGGCAGCACGCTGAGGAAGCGCAAGATGTACGAGGAGTTTCTCAGCAAGGTCTCCATCCTGGGTCAGTGGCTCCCGGCCCCGCGCGCCGTCCATCCCCACGCGCCCCCCGACCCCCGGCTCGTCCGCGTGTCTCCCGGCGGCCCCAGGCTTTGCACGTTCCCTGCACGGCCGGCAGGTCCGGTGTTGGACGGGATGGGGACACGCACACACACGTGTGCGCCCACACACGCAGCTCCCATCCGTGCGCATGCTGTGCCGGGCTCCCCTCGCCGGCCCGTTTGTTTTTCCCTGAGCCACCCCACCCTTCCTCGTCCCGGGGGCCGAGAAACACGTCACCCACGTTTCCAGTCGCTCCCAGGAGGGTCGACACCACTCTTGCCTACGGGAGTTTTTGCAAATTTGAGTTTCCTTTAACGTACGTGACGCCGTCGTGTTGTCCCGGACCAGCCCTGTCGGGGAGCCGTCGGCGGGCGTCCGCGTCCGTCTTGGGCCAAGGAGCTGAGTTTTCATTTCATTTCGTTTCAATCAATTTAAATATGAACCAGCCCACGTGGCCAGGCCGTAGAGACGTGGGAAGAGCCCACAGCTGCCCTTCCCGCTGAAGCCCGGGGAGGGCGCTAAGGGGCACGGTGCTCATTCCCGATATTCAGGGAGCCTTCCGGAAAAGAATTTAGGTTGCGTTGAAAAACCGCTCGCCCACCGTTCGGTTCCACGTCAAGCTCCTTTTCCTCCTGTCGGATTCCAGCAAAATAAAACTTACGACTTCACGTTGAGAGGGACGAGTCCAGGATCCCGTCCTCACAGGAGTTTTTCTGCTTCCCCTCCCACCGTCCCGCTGTTTGGATCTGCGATCGGAGAGATGACCGGTGTGGAGTTTATCGGTCGACAACGGTTATTTCTGGGCAGTTGTCTTAGCGAGTTTTTCCCTCTTTCTTTAGACTTGGCTCTGTTTCTTGAGTTATTTATAGTCCCTATGGGGGATTTTGCCAAAAACGATAAAGTATTAAGACAAAGTAAATGAGAGGACAGACTCACCCTCCACTCAAAACAGACAGGCGCACGAAGGGGCTTCAGGAGGTGCGTGATCCAGCTGCAGCGGTGGATTCATTTGCCTGGAGGCCGGGTTTTCTGACGAAAGTGAGTGACGTCACCCGGCCAGAGGGGCCCAGCCTGAGGCTCCCGGTCCCTGGAGGAGGGAGAGGTGACGTGGGTGCGGCTCCCGTCTCTGTGGACCGGCCTGTTCTGGGCATCTCATGGGAACGGGGTCCCAGGCTCTGGCCGTCTCTGGCCTTAGTGGTCCTTCCTTTGTGGGCGTCGTGCTTGGACGGACGGGCGGCTGGCAGGCTCGTGAGCTGGTCCAGGATTCTTTGGGGTCTCAGGGGGCGTTTTAGCTCCACACAACACCCCAAACCCGGGACCTTTGCTGGCCTTTAGCATCCCCAGTTCCCTCTGAGCCAGAGCAGAGGGCGGGGTCACCTCCCTGTGTTTGTGCATCCGCCTCTTTCACGGCCCCTGTTGGCATCGGAACCTGGAGGCTCAGAGATGCTCGTTCTTGTAGGAAAAAGACCCCAAACAGTGTGACCCGCCCCAAGTGGCCGAGTCTGGGGTGTTCGCTGACATGCCGGCCGGCTGGGGGCCCCGGGGTCTGAAGGCTGGAGAGCTCTGTCTGCCTCGTCCGGGCCTGTTTCCTAGAAAGCCGGGCTCGCTGACGGGAGTTTCAAAGCAGGAAAACCCCCTCCTAACCCAGATCCAGAATAAATGCTTGGCTGTGTATTTTTAGCAGTCGACCTACATACGTGGCCTCTGACAAGGATAGACCAGAGCAGTGTCTTTTTCCAAAAAAGAGATAGTTAATGAGGCACTCACTATTTTCTTATAAAAGGAGCACATTGTGGGTTTTTTTTTTTTTTTTTCCTTCCTGAGGGTTTGGGACGGATAACGACAGGAAGGGACGGCGCGGAGAGTAGAAAGGATTTGCGGGCGTTAAAGATCAGTCGGCCTGGGAAATAAGTGTTTGGACCTGAAATAGCGGAAGGCATCTCTGCCTCAACGACGCAACAGAAACGCGGTTACCGCTCTCCCAACGGGCGGCTCCCTCCTGTCGTCGGTGACGGAGTCGTCTCGGCTAAGTCGGCACAGACTCGGCGTTCGCCGTTCTCAGGGAAACCAGCGCCGAGCGCGGGCAAGGCTCGCGCTCCAGAGCCCGTCCGTCCGCCTGCTGTGGATGGAGAGGCGGCCGGTCCAGAGACGCTGCTGGGCGGCTCCCTCTCCTCTCGCGGGGCGTCCCGCGGTGGCGCCCGCGCCCTGACTCCCGCCCCTCCCGCCCGCTGCAGAGTCCCTGGAGAAGTGGGAGCGGCTGACGGTGGCCGACGCCCTGGAGCCCGTGCAGTTTGAAGACGGCGAGAAAATCGTGGTCCAGGGGCAGCCGGGGGACGACTTCTTCATCATCACCGAGGTGAGTCCGGCTCGGGCCACAGGCGGCGGGTGGGGGCCACCGAGCGCCGTGCTCCACACCAGCTTCCGCGCAGGCCCTTCCGGGAGGGCGCGTTTGGGGGGTCTCCTTTCCCTGCAGGAAGGCCCTGGAAGGGTGTGGAGCCCGGCAGGGAACAGCGAGAGGGAGACCGAGGGTCTGGGGCTCATCTGGGGCACCGGGAGGGAGGGGCACCAGGCAGGGTGTCGACAGGGGCCGGCCCTGGGGCTTCACAGTTTGCGTTTGGAGCTTGGTCCCTCCCTGTCCACGTCCCAGCCCCGAGCCTGGGACAGAGGCTCTGGGAGGATGCTTGTTGAGCGACTGAATGAATGAATGGTGGTGCACACATGGATGAGCGATAGCGGCCGTCTCCAGCCGGAGCTCCGGAAACACCTCTCGGCCTCATCAGCTGTCACTGAAGTAAACACAGTGATATTATTTTAAACATTTGAATTAACTGTCGATATTTAAAAATCAGGGTATTTCACCTAAAAATGTAGATCTCTTACTTCTCTTTAAAAACCTGGTGTCCGGCCCTTTGGCCCTGGGCCCAGGCGGCTGCCCCTTGGGGGTGCAAGGGCCCCCGTTGGCCTCAGTCCTCACCCAGCTCTCTCGCCCCGTTGGTGGGCTCTGCAGCCGTCGCGGGCGTCTGAGTCTGCAGCCTCGTCCGTACGGTCTTGAAGCCGAGGGAACGAGTAACTCTGGCCGGTCCAGACAACCGTCCGTCGCTCTCTGTGGACCAAGGGCTCCTCCGAGCCGGGTCCACGGCCATGGGTGGAAAAACCGTAAAAATGGGTGTGAAAGGCATCGGCCAGCAAGGGGCCCTCCCAGAATGCACAGGGAAGGAGAAGGGCATCACGTAGTCGGTCACATAATTAATTACCGAATCAGGGCTGGTGTTTTCTGAGCTCAGGATGTACCGGGTGTTGCCTGAAGCCCGTCTGACATGTGGTCTGGCCACGCCCCACGCGGGACAGAGGGCAGAGGGCTGGTCCTTTGCCCAGGGACACGCACGGCAGCAAGTGATGGAGGCTGTGTGTGTGCGCGTGCGAGTCCGAGTGTCCTGGAGCGTGTCCCTGGGATGACGCAGCTTCCTGTGCCTCACGTCCGTCCTCCGTGCCCCCGGCTCACGGTTGGTCAAACACCAGTGTAGCCGTGTCCGTGAAGCTATTTCTCAGATTGTGAGTGACGTTGACATCAGCTGACTTGGAGTCATTCGGGCGGCCCTGCACGGCGTGGGTGGGCCTCGTCCGATCAGTCGAAGGCTTTCCTTAAGAGCAAAAAGACCGAAGCCCCCCCCCCCCCCACCCAGGAAGAGAGGGTTCTGCCTGCACACGGCCTTTGGACTGGGTTGCAGCACCCGCTCTTCCCTGCCGGCCGCCCGGCAGAGTCCAGACCTGTGGCCCCCACAATTGCGGGGGCGACTTCCTTAACGTAAATTGGCCTTTATCCACGGACGCGTCCCGTGGTTCTGTCTCCGGGGAGCCCTGATGATGCACTGCAGCTCGTTGGGGTCCCCCTGCCCGGGCGAGTGTGGGGCCACACCTGCGGGAATGGCTGTCGCCCCCAGGGCACCTCACAGCCTCGAGGCCCCTCAGACGAGGCCGGCCCGGGCGGCGGGTGGGCAGGTGGCAGAGGTGGCGTGCCCCGTGGTCTTCTCCCGGCTGGCAGCTTGGCGCCCCTTCTCTGCTTTCCTGGAGGCGGACAGGACACAATGTGTCGAGAACGCGCCAGGCCCTGCGCGGTGCGCGGACCGCCCAACTGTTCATGAGCCGCCTCAGAATTCGCGTCTGGGTCTCGCTGTCCAGGAAACCTTCCGCGGAGGCTCGGGTGGGGCCGGGGCGGGAGCGCGGGGCTGGGCGTCTCGGGTTCCCCGGCTGCGTTCCTCCGTGCGGCCTGGGACCAGCTGGACCCCGGGCTCTGGCTCCCCGTGAAATCCTGAGAGCGACGTTCCCCAGTGGCTCCCGCCAGGCTGTGCGGCCTGGGAGGTGTTGCCGTGGAAACACGAGGCGGGATCTACGTCCCCTCTTAGCAAACTCCTGTCCCGAACGTCCGCGATGTGGAAACAACGTCCACACAGCACGTTTCGAAGCCGCCTTTTGGCCGGAACCTCCCGGCCCGTCCCGATGTTCCGACTCTGAGACTTTTAGGCAGGAGGTGCCCACAGGCCCCGATGCACGCGTCCGTCTTTGCGTGGGATCATTTGTGACAGCCCGTGTGCCCCTACTGTGTGCCGGGCTGAGGCGTCATCATCCCTCGTGCCGGGTGGGCCAACGGCAGACCCCGGGGGGCTCCCTGAGTTTTGAAGGGTGATCGTCCGACCCACTGGCTCTGGGTCCCGTGTGGAGAAGGGGCCGGGCTGGAGCAGGAAGGCTGTGGGTGGCGCAGTGACCTCAAGATGACTGTGGGCGGACCCAGCGGATGGGGAAGATGTGGGTGGGCAGGTGGGGCTGGGTGTTGAGGTGTGAGTAGAAGTTCTCCAGGCGGGGAAGGCAGAGGGAGGATATCCGGATAGATAATGCCTCTAAGGTGCGTGTGGGAGCTCAGAGGCGCGGGGGCAGGAGCACAGGTGTGGCGGGAGCGTGGGTGCTGGGCTTAGGGGAGGAGGAGGCAGCTGGATCACACCCAACCTGACGTCCACATCATAACCTGCAAGGACGGGCACAGCCGCCTCAGGCTCTTGAGGGGCCTGGGAGCCCTGTGTGTTTGTTCCCGTCCTGGGACCCTCCTCGTGAGCTCGTCTGAGCGAAGGAACAGAGATTTCCCGTGTGCCCCCTGCCCCCTCACACACACAGCCTCCTCCACTGTCGGCACCCCCATCTGATGGTACGTTTGTCACCACTGATGAACCTACACGGACACGTCATCATCACCCAGAGTCCACAGTCCACATTAGGGTTCGCTCTCGGTGTCGTGCGTCCTGTGGGTTTGGACAAATGTAGGATGACGTGTGTCCGCTATTATGGTCCCCCCCAGAGTAGCTTCACTGCCCTCAAAGCCCCCTGGGCTCACCTGTTCATCTCTCCCTCCTCCCCACCGGCAACCGCTCCTCTGTTTACTGTCTCCACAGCTTTGCCTTTTCCAGAATGTCACGGAGTTGGAATCCTACAGACGGAGCCTTTTCAAAATTGGCTTCTGTCACTTGATGATATGCGTTTAAGGTTCCTCCAGGTCTTTTCCTGGCTCGATAGCTCCTTTCTTTTTTATTAACGTGAGAATCATTACGAGGGGGCGACGTTCCCCCCAAAAAAGCACGAAGGGCCTCCCCTCCCCCCCGGCCCCGTCCCGCATCCCGTTTCCCACCCGGGTCTCCCACGGCGGCAGATGTGGGATGTTTTTGCCGGGTTCCGGGTCCGGCCTCCTCCTGGATGAGATTCCTGGCACCGAGGAGGCCGTGAGGCAGCCTGCGAAGACCGTCGCCATAAAGACGGGTGTTTTTGGCCGGGAAACCCTAACAGATGCGCAGTTTTGGACGAATCAATTTGCGAGGGTGTCGAATTCCGCCCGGCTGCCCACCAGCCGGGAGCCGGGGCCCCCCCTGCGGGTGTCTCTGGCCTCGGTGGGACCGGCGGCTGCGTGCCCCTCAGTTCCCCCCGGAGAAGGCGCCCGGGCGGGATCAGGCTCTCGGGACCCCCGCCCCCTCGAAACCCGTGAGGCCTGGGAGGGGCTCAAGGGCCCCGCGCCCTGAGGGACAGAGGAGCATGGGGAGCCCAGCGTGGGGCAGAGCCCACCACCCGCCCCCCAGAACTTTCATCCTGTGAATCTGGAACTCGGTGTGTCAGAATGTCCTTCGTTTTCCAGGCTGACTAATATTCCCTGGCAGGGAGGGACCCCGTGTGTTCATCCGCCCAAACCCTCTTCTTGTATCCACCGATAACGACGGCGATGATGCACCCGGGGCGGGGGGGGGAGAAGTCCCAGCGTCCAGGGGACCCCGCCCCCCGAATAATCACCTCCCTGATCAGACTCACCTGAGTCACACCAGAAACTTCTATCGCCGTGGGGAAACTGAGGCTGCGAGAAGCAAGGGACCGTGTCCACGGCCGCCCAGCGAGTCAGGGCTGGAGTCCCGGCCCCACAGTGCCCGCCCCTGGCCGGCGTGATGGCTCCGGGCCCTCGGGACATTCTCCATCTGCCTTGTTGGCCTTTAGCGCTCCCGTGAGCTGAAACAGCGCTTCTGGCGAGATCAGTCAGTCAATCAACTACCCAGCTGGGGGAGGTTCCCTTTGCCTCTGGCTCAGCTTCTCCTGCAGGGACCTCGCTCTTGACCTGACTCGCCCGGGGACGGAAGGGGGGAACGCTGAGAAGCCGGACGCCCTGCATGACCTCGGGCCTGGGAGCCCAGGGAGGCGTCCGCACGGTGCACACGGCACCTGGGTTCCGGGACAGCGTGTCCCCGGGGTTGTCTGCTCGGGGACCCCAGGGCCCTTGCCCGAGTGCCGTCAGGGGACTCTGGCCTCTGCCAGGCTCGGTACCTGCGCCTCGGGGAGTTAATGGGGCCCTGCGGGCGGAGGCAGGGAACAGCCTTGAGGCGGAGGGAACAGCATGTGCAAGGCCTGGGGGCCTGTCGTCGTGGCCGGAGCTGGTGGCCGAGTGGGGAGGAAGCACCGGGACAGAGGTCCCGAGGGCGGGGGACCCGGGCTGGGTTGTCTGGGACGCAGCGTCCTCCTGGAAGGGGTCCGAATGGAGGTCCGGAGCCCCAGGAGGGCCGGGAGGGGCATGCGGGACAGGTGGGCGCCGTCCTGGGCCCCTCGCTGCCCCCCATTTCCCTGTGGGGGGCTGGGAACCACGGACCTGCGGGGACGGCCGCTTAGGGGGAGGGCCGAGTTCTCTTTGGGGGTGTGCATTCGAGGTGCTGGAGGACCCCAGGGGCACGCGGGGCGGAGGGGGGAGGCGGGGTCAGGGGTGAGAGGTGAGAGGGGGTCGGGGGCCATCTGGGAGGGGAGCCTGGGAGCCTCAGGCAGCACCGTTGTCGGATCCCGGAGGGGGAGCCGCCGGGCCGGTCGGGGCTTGTTCTTGCTTTCCGCGCCGTTGAAATGTAACGGACAGGTGTGCACACTCACGCACACGCACGCACACGCACACACACGCCCGTGCAGACGCTCACGCACACGCACACGCACACGCATATCCATGCAGACGCTCGTGCACGCACACCCCCAGCACCCGCCCCCGCCCGCCCCGAGGCTGGAGCAGCTGGTGGGAAGCGCCCGGCCCGGCTGTGCGTCCGGGACCACCCACTGCGGAGTTGTGTGAAGCCTGTGAGTAAACAGCCGGCGGCCTGGGCCCCGGGGGGCTCTTCTCGCCTCCCTCTGCCTGGCGTCTGCGCGGCGGCCTCGGCAGGGCACTCAGGCTCCTTCAGCCCCAACGGGAAAAGCAAACGGGGGACGGGGGCCCAGCAGCCTGACTCGCGGGTGCGGCTGCCAAAGGGCCGAGGGGCACGTCCGGTGCCCCAGACGCTCGTGTCCCTCCCGGTCCGGGGTCTCGGGGATGACGGGGTGCCGGGCGTGGGGGACGGGGCCGCAGCGTCTCGCACGCTGGCTGCACGTGGAAGGAAGGCCACACCTGTCGGTGGAAGAACGAGACGCCGTCGAGAAGGGACCTGGGATGAGGTCGTGGTGCCGGGACCCGGCCGTCATGGGGGACGATAGTGGCTGGGGGGGAGTGGGGCTAAAAACGCTTCTGGTGCCCGTTTGGTAAGACCCTCCCATGCCGCGGGACACAGCTGGGACGTGACCGGTGAGCGATGGAGAGCCTGTTAGGGCTTTTTCTGGGAGCCGCCCGTGACCCCCACTCACCCCGAGAGGCAGAAGGAGCCCTGGGGGTTGGGGTCTGAGGGCTGGTCCAGAGAGGGCTTGCTGTCCCCACCCGGCACACAGCAGAGCATTTACGGCCGTGATGTACGCTCCCTGGTTCCCCAAATCTGCAGGGGCTCTCGCCGTTGGGGGTGGGGGCAGCGAGGAACCGGGCCGCGGAAGGGCGTTGGGAGCAGAGCAGGAGGTCCAGAGCCGCGGCCTGTGACCGACTGCACGAGCGTCTCTGGTTCCGCACAGAGATGCAAGCCGGTGCGGCCGCGTGCTCCCCGCCCAGACATGAGGGCCGTCCCTGTGCCCAGGAGGAGCGTCCGTCCCTGGGCACTTTCCTGTCCCCTGACGGCCACGGCCTGGCTTCAGGGAGACCCGAGACCATGGCTGTCGCTGCCTCAGGACACTTGCAGCCAGAGTGTGCGAATTATCTCCCACGCGGAGGGAACGGGTTTTGCCCCGACAGTCATTTCTTTAACGATCCCTCGGCGGGACGGTCGGTGGTGTCGCCGCCCTGGGAGCTGGCGGGTGTGGTCTCGCCTGGGCCGGGTGAACGGCTGGCCCGCACACTCCTGTCCTCCCGCTTGTTGAGCGCCCACCAGGGGGCCTGATGTGTGTTCGTCCTCCTGGTGTCCGGCTCGGGAGCGTCTGTCCAGGTGCCGTTTGCACTCGGGCCCGGACGTCCTGAGGGGGGAGCGTCGTCCTTCATCTCGTCCAGCGTGCGGCCCACGCGGGGTCGTCCGTGGGCCCAGGAGAAACGCTGCCGCTCGCAGCCTCGGTTCCCCGTTGACCCCAGAGGCGACAGAGCCTGGGACGGGCGACCTGGCTTCGGGGGGCAACGGCGGGTGAGGCCGGACGGTGACGCGTCCCCTGGACGGTCAGCACAGCCGTCCCTGCTCCTCCTGCCGACAGAACCCCGATCCTCAGCCCCGGCCCCCCAACGCTGGCCGCCGTCCCTCCCCAGCAATGGTTCAGGGCGGGCGCGTGACCCGCTGCGGCCAGCGAGGTGTGAGGGACGGTGGCCCGGAGCTTCCACAAGGTTTCCTGCCGATGACGAGAGAGTCGTAGGAGGACAAAGTGGATTCTCTTTTCCCGCCGATGGTGTGAGGGAGGCGTGGTGACTCCCGGAACCCTGGCAGCCACCATGCCACCACGAGGGACCCGAGTGAGGACTGGGAACCCCACTGAGGTCGTCAGAGCAGCGAGCGACAACAAGCCCGGGTCCCTGACGTGTCTCTGAGCTGCTGCGTCGGCCCGCCTTCTGCTTCTGTGGGGTCACAGGTCGCGCCCCTAGTGTCCGTCAGCCGCCTCGGTCGGGTTTCCTGTTCTTTAGCCTGGAGTGTCCGGGTGACCCTGTGAACCAGGGCCCTTCGGTTCCACCCCTGGGCGTTCTGAAGAGGAAAACGATCCCATTGTAACATGGGAAGTCGTCTAAAACGGGAATGAAATGCACATAAATTACACGCATGGTGGATGAAAGGCATAAACGTGGAGAGACCCAGATCAACGCTGTGGGGCATCGCGAGCGGTTCTCTCTGCCGGGACGTCTGCTCCCACCCCAGCCGCCTGGTCTCTCAGTGGCTGCGGCCCCAGGGCGGTCCCGCTGTGGGGCGGCTTCCGAGCCCACCTTCCCCTCGGCCGTACCCCCGTGGGCCGTGGAGCCCAGGACGCAGCCTGAGCCGCCACCAGCCCCGGGTCGGGGGACGGCCAGGGCTGTGCTGGCAGGTGGGGCCCAGGGCTCTGTGCCCTCTCTGGGCTCCGGGAGGCACATGTGACCCCCAGGCCCCCACCCCACGGCCTGAGTCTGGGGGCGCCCGACCTTTGTCTGCCCGGGGGGAGGCGGCCGGCTGTTTGGATAGCACGCTCCGGCCGCCAGATGCCTCATAAACACCCCGGACGCCGGGAGCCGGGAAGGTGGGGGGCAGGCGGGGGGGGGGTGCCCTTCGGTGCCCTGAGGTTCCAGCACAGCGGGCACCGGCGGGGTCTCCTGACCCGCGTCCCCCAGACCGTGGCGGGCGGCAGTTACACATTAACGGGCCGGCGCACGAGGCTGGTCTGGGGGAGCCGTGCGAGCCGGGCCCACTTCCAGCCGTGGGGCAGCGGCCGCTCCACCGTGGCACCAGGTCATCCCTGCCCCACCACCGGCCGAGCCTCTCTGGGTAGGGGGGCCGGGCTCGTGTCAGTCATCAAGCGGGTGCCTGCAGACGCCCCGGGCTGGGGGTCGGGAGGGGGGTGACCCCCAGACATCTGCTCCCACCCGCCTGGCGCTCTGGACGCACTCCAGTCCTTGAGCGCTGACCAAGGTCGGCCAACCTCTAGAACTCTCCGGCCACCGCCCAGCCCTTGTGCACCCGGGTCCCCACCACGGGGGTGGCGCTGGGCTGGAGGGAAAACGGGGAGCTCAGTGTAGACGGCCCTCCTCACGTGTCCGCTTGGCCTCCACAGGGCACGGCCTCCGTCCTGCAGCGCCGGTCCCCCAACGAGGAGTACATGGAGGTGGGGCGCCTCGGGCCCTCCGACTACTTCGGTGAGTGGGGGGCCCCTCGTGGGGCCGCGGCGTCCCGGGTTTCTGTTCTTTTCCCCCGGAGGGCGGCCAACCCCTGACCCCGCCTGTCGCCCGCAGGGGAGATCGCGCTGCTGCTGAACCGGCCCCGGGCGGCCACCGTGGTGGCTCGGGGGCCGCTCAAGTGCGTGAAGCTGGACCGGCCCCGCTTCGAGCGCGTGCTGGGCCCCTGCTCCGAGATCCTCAAGAGGAGCATCCAGCGTTACAACAGCTTCATCTCCCTGACCGTCTGAGCCCGCCGCCCCCGCCCCGCTTCCGTGTGCCGGCGTCCCGGCCGCCTGGGGACCCCCCTGCCCCCCGGACTCCCGTCTGGAGTGAAACAGTCCCCTCGGGCGTCTCAGACACAGAGGGCGCCCCCGACGCGCCCCAGGCCGAGGGGAGATGCCCGCGCCCCTCGCCTCCCTCCTGTCCGTGCTGTGGGCTCGTCTTTGGGGGGCACCCTGGGGTGTGCTCGTCCCCCGTGGCTCAGGGGCCAGGCTGCGCGTCCAAGCCGGCCTGGTCCCTCTTGTCCCTCTTGTCACCCTCCGCTCCATGCTGGGGGCCCTGTGACGTCCGGCCTCCGGCTCTGAGTGCGAACGTGGGGTGACGACGTCCAGGGGCCCCGCAGGGACCGCAGCTTGGAGCGAGGACGCCCGGGTGGAGCCCGCTGGGCGACGTCCGCCCGTCCTGGCCTCACGGTGAAGGGAGGCCCCGCACTGGGGTCCTGACTCGGGGGCCAGGGCCGGGCCGGCCGCAGGGGACCCCACACGGGCCCCGGCCTGCGCGTTTGGAGGAGCGGACGTGGGCGGCTGGCTGCGCTCCCCTCTCTCGGAAAGTCCACTCGGCCGGGCCGTGGCGCCCAGGACGGCGAGGAAACGCCACATGAGACGGGACTTTCCGAGATGCGGCGAGCGCCTTTCTGGGTCCCTGTTCCCCCCCGGCGTCGGGTGGGGGTCCCGCACGCCGTCCGCTGCCCGACTTCCTGGGGACGGCGTCTCCCGAGCCGGTGAAGGTGTCAGAACCCGCGTCCCGGGAGCTCGTCCAGCACTCGCGCCTCGGGTCTCCCGACGTCGGAAAACAACACGTCCGCCCGGCCCTGGGCCCCCCGACCCTGGTCGTCCTCGAGTGAACTGCCCCCCAGGCGTGTCCTCAGCCCCTCACCCCTCGAGCTGGACGGGCGGCGTCTGCAGACGGGAGACTCAGACGGGATCGTGCAGTCGCCCCCGTTCCGCCCCTGCCGTGCGCATCCCGTCCCGGGCGACCCCCGCCAGCCCCGCCTTTGCCCGTGGACGTGTCTGTGACGTGTGCACCCCGCCCGTCTGTCGCGATGTTGGGAATGCTGCATGTGCCATTAAACGTGGGTGAAGAACCTTTCCCTCGGGGCTCTCGGTCTGAAATCTTTTTTTTTTTTCTTTTTTGAGGAAGATTGGCCCTGAGCTAACATCTGCCGCCAATCCTCCTCTTTTTGCTGAGGAAGACTGGCCCTGAGCTCACATCCGTGCCCATCTTCCTCTACTTTATACGTGGGACGCCTGCCACACCTGGGATCCAAATTGGTGAACCCAGCCCCCTCCCCACCCTCTACTTCCTGCCTCTGAATTTGACGACTCCAGGGGCCTCACACAATATTTGTCCTTTTGTGGCTCCTTTCACTCAGTCCAGGGTCCTCAGGGTTCATCCATTGGTAGCAGCTGTCAGAATCTCCTTTTCAGGGCTGAGTAATATTCTAAGCCAGGACTCGGAGGGGGAAGGGGGCGATGAGGGGGTGCACGCCGTTCCACCTTGTGTCCAGACTTGGGGTCAGCCTCCCCTGCTGGGCGGCTGCTCCCAGGATGGCGGCCCTGAGGTCACATGACGGGCAGATGTCAACGGAGAACAAAACGGGGGCCTCAGAGGCCCTGTCGGGGGGCCCGCTTCGGGGGGTCTCATATATCTCCCGTGGCCAGTGTGGGTCCAGGTTCCGGCCTTGCCGTGGGGACAGGGAAGGGCCCACGGGAGCTGGCCCGGCCCCTCTTCTCACGCTGGACGGGGTCCAGGCTCCTGGGGACCGCCATGTGGAGGTCCCCGAATAAGGAACGACCCGGGACGCGGCTGCTGCGGGGCCGGGCAGCGCTGCTGGGTCTGGGGCGGCGAGAGCCGTGCGTGCAGGGAGAACGGCCTCCACGCGGGGACGGGGTGGGGTCAGAGGGCAGGCCTCAGTCTGCACGGGCCAGCACAGCCGTCGCTCCAGGGGGACCGTCGGCCCAAAGTCCAGCGGGGGGTGAGGTCCTGAGGGGTGCACTCCTGGCGGGTCCCGGAAGTGGGGACGCCAGGGCCCTGGGGCGCCCGAGCCGGGCGTGGTCGTGTCCCACCGTGCCGGGGCGTGTGGCCTTTGCCGGGAAGCTCTGCTGGACCCCGGCTGGGCTGGCCGTCCTCTGGGGTCCCACGGCCCCCAGCTGCTTCCGGAAGGTGGGGAGAGCGGGTCCTGAAGGTACCCTGGGCTCCTCCCGCGGACCTGGGGCCGTGGGGTCCGGGCGGCTCAGGACGGGCTCGTGCAGGAGGCCGAGGGGCGGGCGGTGGTCTTCAGACTTTCCCCAAAACGAAAATACAAGAGACAGATGAAATCTGTTTTTATTGTGATAAAATATACACAGCATAAAATTTACCATTTGATTCATTTTTCAGTGCTCAGTTCAGGGGCACTGAGCACATTCACCTTGTTGTGCAAACATCACACTGTCCGTCTCCAGAACTTTCCATCTTCCCAAACGGAACCTCGGTCCCCATTGAACACCTGCTCCCCAGCCCCTCCCCGGCCCCTGGCCCCATCATCTACTTTGACCGTGTGAAGAAATTCTTTTTAGTAAGATGTTTTGTTTCGCCGTATACCCTGAATATTCTCATTCAACACGTTATCAATATAAAAATTGTTAACGAGAGAGTTTACGTGCTTTTCGGTACCGAGTCTCTGAACTGGGTCCCTTGTTTTGCACTCAGCGCATCTCCATGTGCACGTTCAAGGGCCCTGTGGCCACACGTGGCTACAGCTGCCGACCAGCCGGCGCGGCTCCATCCGAGTGTTAACGGACTCTCGGGCCGCAGCCTCTGGTTCAGTGGGGACCTCAGGACGGCGGCTCCCGCGTGGAACGCCCCATCTGTGTGAATTCGGATTTTCCCAAGATGCTGAAAACAAAGCGGACACGGGGACCAGCAGGGACGCGAGCCCGAGAGGATCGTGGTTTTTTATCCTCGTCAGAAAGGTCGACTCTGGTTAAAGTGATCAGCTGGACCCTGTGAAATTCAGATTTACAAACAACTGCTGTCTTGCTGAATCCGTTAGAAACCTGCCAGAGGCTTTCGTTTCAGAGTCCTGGGGCTTAAAACGCGGCAGCTCCTGGTTCGACGTCGCAGAGGGAAGGCGACTGAGGCCACGACTCGGGTGACGTCCACGCCGTGGCAGGTGAAGGGGTCGCGTTGGACTGTGAGTCCTGTTTTCCAAGCAAAAAGCTGAGGCGGAAGCCAGCGGACACTGCTGGTCGCTCTCTGGGTCCAGCCCGCCCTCTCTGGACCCACCCTCATCTCTAAATCTGATCCCTGGCGGGGCGTGCATCTTCCCGCCGTCCTCCGGCCTGGATCCTGGGGTCGGCGTGGAGGAAGGCGGGGGCCGTGGGACCTCATGACATCAGTGGTCAGCCTGCGCGTGAGGAGGAAGCTGCAGACATGGAGCTGAGGTCCGAGGGGAGCCCCGAAACCGCCCGCCCTCAGGACCTCGAAACCTCTTTTGTTCTGGAAGCCGGGTGGGTGGGGTTCCTGCAGCCAAAACCCACAGACGCCTTCGGAGGCGGCTTGTGTTAAAGGTTCGGAGCAGAGGCCGGTGGAGGAGGAGAAGCGGGGCCCAGAGAAACCGCCTCGGGGCCAGACGTCCACCTGGTCAGTTGGCGATGACCGGGATGGCAGTGGGTCAAGATCGTGTCTACACTCGAGGTCACTGGGGCCACCTGGGGGGTTCTGGGCCTTTTCTGGAGAAGGCGGCACGGCAGGAGCGGCCCCTCCACCGGGAGCCTCAGGCCAAGGAAGGCGGGCGCTGCCAGAAGCTGGAAGAGGCAGGGAGGCGACGCCCCGGCGCCCTGGGGGAAACGCAGCCCCGTCTCAGGCCCGACCTCGGACTGTCAGGTGTTGTGTGGTTTCGAGTCCCCGAGTCTGAGCGTCCGTTACAGCAGCCGCGCGGAAGCTCCCGGAGGAGGAGGCCAAGCCGGGGTCCAGCTGAGCGCTGCCGTCCGGAGGCCGCGTTCCACCAGCACCCTGTGCTTCCTTGGAGCCCGGGTCTCCGCCTCCTGGACGCAGGGGCCTCCGGGCTGGGGGTGGGGAGGACGGCCGGCCGGGGCGGGGTGGGGCGGGCCGGGCCGCGGGGGAGGCCGTGGGCGGCGGCATCTTCCCCAGCTGGGCGCTGGCCTGTTCCCTCTGGCACCAGGTGGCACTGAGCCGGTCTGTGGGTCATGAAAGCGGGCTTGTGTGCGCGCGAGGCCACAGCCAGGCGATTGTTCTGCCCAGCGCGGCCCCCGGGGCGGTGCCAGGGGCTCCGGACTGAACGGACGCCGGGCAGAGGGCCACGCGGACGGGCCCAGCACCCCGACCCCGGGCCGTCGGGGTTCATGCCGCGCCCCGGTCCCCGAGTGGCCATGTTCCTCTTGCCTGCCCTGGGGGCGCCTGACGGGGACACTCCATCCTGACGCGGCTGCTGGGAGGGGTCAGGGTGTGGCCGGGGCTGGCCTGTCCGTGACCCCCACGAGGGCAGGTGTGGGTCTCGCTCACTCACCTGTGGGTCCCGGGCCGACACTCCGCCAGCCCCGTAAATATTTGCCTAAATAAACCAAAGTGCATGAACTTGGGGTTGAAACAGGGAAATCGGGGGAAATTCAGGCTCCGGGCTTCACAGGCCAAAAAAAAAAAAAAAGGAAACTTTGCTTAAAGTCTCGCACTTTTTACAAAAAATTAACTCTGGCGGCTCGCGGCCTCACACGTAAACGCAAAACCCGTAAAGCTTTTGGGAAAACACACGGGAGAAAGTCCCACGTTGTTCTCAGACTCGACACCCAGAGAACGAGCCGTGAAAGGAAAATCGGGTTAAGTCGGAATTCCTGGACACTAAGGACCCGGCGAAGGCGACGGCGGGATGCGCTGCAGACGGGAGGAAACACGTGCAATGGTGCGTCCTACTAAGGACTCGCACCCAGAACCCTCAGAACTCAACAGGAAGAAGCGAACGGGCCCCGTTAGGCCCCACCCGCCCCGAGGGTGGAGATGAAAAGAGGGGCTGCTCCCACGGGGCGGGCGCGGAGAAGCCCCAGGATAACATCACGGAAAGTCGGAGCTGGAGGGGCGGGCTGGGAGACCCCGCAGCATCTCTGAGGGGACGGCGATCCTCAGACGGACGGACGGATGGGGCAGGAGCAGAGGAGGCCTGGTGGGGTCAGCAGAGTCTGCGTCCCCCAGACCCCTATCCTCGCCCCGGCCCTGTCCCCACACCCCAGGAAAGCTCTGCAGAGCCGTTCTGCTCCTGCTGTGCTGCCCTGGGCAAGCCGCTTGACATCTCTGGGCCTCGCCCGCCCCTCTCTGAAACAGCCTAGGAACGCACCCCCAGTATAACTGGCAGGGGGCACGGTGGTCCAGAAGCCCCTCCCCGACCTGGGGTGGGCGCAAGTGCGGCTCCCATGGGGGGCTGGGGTGGGTGCCCGAGGCAGGTGCAGCCCCTGCTGTGGGGCAGCAGCCCAGGGGCCCTGGACACCCAGGCCCATCCATTCATTCATTCATTCATTCATTCATTTCTTTTATGGTTCCTGTGACCCTTCACCCCGGTCCTGGCAGGGGGGGTGGCCCGGCTCCCTCAGACCCTTTCCTGGAGTCGGGGACTCTGGCCGGAGTCGCAGAGGACAGACCTGCGCTGGGTCCAGCACCTGCAGGTGGCCGTCGGCCCCACTGGCTCGGCCGTCCTGGGCTCCGGGGCTTTGCTGGGGCCAACGCGGGATTCCCGACGGGGCTTCTCTGAGCCTCGGCGTTCCCGTCTGTCCACGGGGGGACGGCCCTCAAGGCCGCGTGTGGAAACGAGGTCCTGACTGGCCAGGGGACGCCCCGCCAGGCCAGCCGGGACGACCTTGGCCGTGGACAGTCCCGGCTGAATCAGCCGGCGGGGGTGACTCACTCTGAGGTCGGGACTTCCCTCCCAGCCGGCCGGCCGCCTGGGGGAGAGTGACTCCTCGTCCATCCGGGAGGCCCTCCTGGCGGCCTGCAGGTCGGGGCTGATGGGGGTCCCGTGGCTGCCGCTGGCCACGGGGGTCTCTGGTCCCCGAGACTCAGCCCCGAACGGGGTCCCTGGGGTCTCCTCTGCCTCGTCCGCGGGTGGCTT